GCCTTGGCCACACTCGGTCTTTCTCCACTAAGACTCTATGCTGCAGGTGGATGCCACATGGCCTGGCTCCTCCCTCCGCTCAAAGACTCTGATTAATAATGATAAAAGTGCTAATGAAAACTGACCTCCCCACTCTAGTTACAAATGCAAGCAAAACAGCCTTGACAGCCTGGACTTTAAAGGAGACATAGTGTCATTTGTGTTGAAATTAATGCAGATTGTCATAAACACTCTGATCTTTAGATAAGAGGACTCAGGAAGCTCAGTGGACAGTTGTAGGATAGAAGCAGAGAGGAGGGCTCTTTGGGTGGGTTCTTTTAGAAGGGCGATGGATGGGTGTCTGAATTTTACCAAGGTATTTTTCAGGCAAAGTGTGCTTGAAACAAAGAGCTGAAAGGGTAAGAGCAGAGGTGGGTGTGCAAGAGGTGAAGGGAGAGAAAAAGGAGAGAATAGGAGAGTTTACTTAGACAACAGTAAAGTCTGGCAATATCATATTTTAAATGAGTTTGGTCACTAAGAAAAAGCCAGAACCCCTGTTGTGTGTCTTTTGTTTCCTCTGCATCAAGCCTCACCTCTGCCCCATTTTCTAATTTCTCTCCTCACCTGCCCCTGTGATTTCTCTGTGTTTAACCATCATGGATCTAACAGCTTTCCTTGCTTCCAGATTGTCTCAGTTTGACTACTTCTCTCTCCTTTCCCCCCTTCTCTGTCTCATTCTCTTCTCCCCGCTTCCCTGCTCCTCTTTCTCAGTTCTTCCTCCTCGCAGACTCTTCTCTTATTCCTTGTCCCCTTCCCCTCCCCCTTCCAGTTCACTCCTTTCCTCCTCAGCCCTCCTTCCCCTCCTCCCCCTTCCCTCACTCCTCCATTCTCCTTGCCTTCTTCCCCCCTCTACCCTTACAGCTCTTCTCCTTTCGTCCCCCTCTCCACTTCCCCATCTTCCATCCCTCCTCCCTCAACCCCTCTCTTTCCTCCTTTCCTTTTCCCTCCCTTTCCCTCTCGGTCCTTGTTTATCTGTAAGCTCCAATTTCTTGTCTTATAGATTTACCTGCAGTACAAGACACCGCTCCTCCTGCAGAAAAGACCGTTTAAGAAATCCATATCCTCTCCCTTCATTCCTTGGGCACTTCAGAAATTATATTCCTCCCCCAGCTACCCCTGTCAAAATAAAATACATTCAGCCAGCTCCTGCTGTGTGTCCTTAAATCCATTCCCTCCAGCCTCGCTGGGTTGAAAGCCTGTACCCTAGAAGGGGCCTCCTGCATTTGCTGGCAACCCTGCTCTAGTCTGATCGCCACAGATAGTGCTTGGGAGTGAAAAAAAGGGGGGAAACCCCTCCAGTTGGAGATTTCAAAACAGATTCTACCAGCTCTTGAATCTGTGCACTGGCTGAGTGTGGCAGGGCTTGGGGGAGAGAGGCAGGGGACTTTGGGTGTGAGTGTTTGGCGTAAACAAATAAGCAACAAGATTTATGCACAGATATAGGACATTTTGGGCTTCCTCTGACATGTTTGGTGTCTTTCTCTCTGGCATCGAGGGTGGGTGCTGCGCAAGTCTGACTTCTTGCACACTTTGCTTTGCTTTTGGGGGTCTCTCAGTGTGGATGTGTGCGGAATTGAGGAGGGGGTTACTGTGTTTTTGATCTGATTCACTTGATGGATTATCTGAATCCAGCCCACCTTTCCACACATGTCAAACAGATGGGATCATTGTTAAAAGCCTTGAGCGGAGCCGAGGCTGAGCGGTGGGTAAGGAAGGGAGGGGGAGGAGAGGAGGGGGACCGAGGGGAGGGAGGGGGCACCTTCTAGTAGCTTTGTGTTTTTCACACATTGGAACTGACAGGAGCCCTCTTTCTCAGTGGTGGAGGGTGTTTTGGGGGTCTGAGGCTGGTGAGGGGTGGGATGGAAAGGAGGGAGAGAGGTGGGGTGTTGGTGGGCAGGGTTATGATGTCACAGCAAAAGTTACAACAGGAGGAAAACACAGAAATGGTTCAACGTTTTTTTTTTAACTTTGGACTGCCAAGAGCTGAAGGAGAGTGGTGAGCAAAGGAATGAAGGGGAGAGAGAGAGAGAGAAACTAAACTGGAAGCTTGAGTTTTGTGTAGCTTCTTGAAACCTTATGAATGGATTACTAGCAGCTGAAAGCCAGGAGAGACCTATAGGGGATGCAAGATCATTTACACATTAAAAGGGGGAGACAAGCACGGCGGGATTCTTCTTCTTTACTGTGTTATCTCTCCTTGCAGAAATGAATGGTAGGAAACCTTTTTCTGAGGGTCATGGGGTTGGCATGAGGGAGGAGGGAGCTGACATCTCTTTTTCTTACCTGAGTGTCGTCCCTTCACTTAAACTCATGCCCTTCTCTTTCCTCCCCTCCTTTCTCTCCCAGGCTCGCTCCTCTTTCCCTCTCTGTCTGTCTTTTGTGCCTTCCTGTCTTCCCTGCCTCTCTAACTTTCTTTACTCCCCTTATCCCCATCCTAAAGCTATTCTTCAGCTGCCACAGGCAGAAAACAAAATGTACTGAGTTGGGCAAAGTGAAGGAGATAGCAAAAGGCTAAAAAGGTAAAAGGACAGCTTCAGATGGAGGGCTATCTGTGCAGATGTAGCCACGTGCCTGGATTGCTAGCTTCTGTGAGAACTTGTCTTTGAGGCTCCAGTGGATGGTGGCATAGAGGAAACAGGGGGTGCTGGCATGAAGTGGCTCAGGAAACAGCGTTCAAGGCAAACCAGACCATTATTAGCTGAGGTACAGGAGTTTAAAAGATGGGGAAACCCAAAGCAGAAGAGGCAGTGTGTGCATACTACAGAGCATGTGGGCTCCTGCTTTGTAGGTGGGCAAGACAAGCAATGATTTTTAAAAGTAGATCTGGTTTGTCCTTTTATGAAATGAAGGATCCAGTGTGTTTCTCTACTTGTTTGGCACCCACCTGTGGCTAGACACCCTCTTACCTGTATGAAGAATTCAGAACCAGGTCTGCGGGGGAGCGGAGGTGTGCACGCACGCATGCGCACATGTGTGTGTACAGGCACGTGTGATCAGGGGTAGAGACACTGACTTAGCCTGCATCTACCACACATTATTACCGAGGCTGAAATCACATTTGCTTCCCCATCTGATCTGTGCACTTCAAATCCATTGAACCAAGAGTTGCTTAAGTCTAGCTGTTCATTTGTGTAAATGACTTATTTTGAGCATCTCATTTGTTTATATGCGCACTCAGCATATGGTGACTTTTAGGAACTTCAGACTGGGAAACTTCAGAAAGAAAAAGATCTGGGGAGTCCACATGCATGGCATTCTCCTTTAGGGCTTCTCACAGCAGGAATATGGATTTATCTCTTCTCTCACCATCTAATACGATGTAAACTCGAGGTGATCCAGATATTTGAATGAAAAAACAAAAGTGCAAGAGTTTTGTGGAGAGAGAGAGAGAGAGAGAGAGAGAGAGAGAGAGAGAGAGAGAGAGAGAAGCCTTCCCTGAAATGCTAGTTTGGATTTTGTAGGCGGGAGGGAGGTGTGAGGAGCCCTGGTGTTTTAGTGCTTGAAGTATTAGGCTGCTAATGGAAAGAACAGTAGTTCAAACTCCCCAGCTGTTCCTCAGGGGAAGGATGTGGTGGTCTGTTTCTGGAAAGATTTACAGATTTTGAAACCCTATGGGCTTGTCCTTCTCTGTCCTATAGGGTCACTATGAGTTGAAATTGTCTCAGAGTAGATCTGTTCACAACAATTTGTGAGTGTGTGTGTGTGTGTGTGTGTGTGTATAAGAGAGAGAGAAACTCTCTCTCTCTCTCTGTGTGTGTGTGTGTGTGTGTGTGTGAGAGAGAGAGAGAGAGAGAGAGACTATACACAGAAGAGAAAGCTCCAAAACACTATTGATTGTTTGCTATTGATTGTGTAGACTGCGGCTGCTGAAAGAGAAAGCCCAAGATGTTTACTGGGGAAACCAAGAGTAGCTTCTGTCCCGAAGAGGAAGAGGCTGTCTCCCCAGAGCCTCGGTGAGGTGGGGGAGGTTTTCAGGAGGGAGGGGACAGGGAGTAGGTGGAGAGATGCACTGAACTTATTAGCTTTGACATCATCATTGTCTTTAAAAGAAACAAACAAGGAGACAATTACAGTCAGAGAGAAAGAGGGAAGGGGAGGAGGAGGAACTGAAGAGAACAGGTCCTCTGACTTGTATGCTTTGCCTGCTCTCTTTTCAGTCTTCCTGGGGACCGCCAAGACTCACACAACGTGAAATCAAGGGCTCTCAGACTCAAAAGGTCTTTAGCACGACAAACTGGCACCCCAACGGAGACTTGCAATATCCCAACAAGTTGGAAGGGGCTAAAACACTTTCAACAATCATCAACCCCAAGAACCCAGGCTGAGGGGAAAATTCTAACCTGCACAGGCAGCCTGGCAATTGGTTGGGAGCTGGCTGAGGACAACTGGAGAGAGCAAGTTAAGTACAAGCTGGAATCTCGGTGCCTCTGGACTCTTTTTGGCATCTTCAGAGAATAAGCATCCTCTTGCATGTCTCTGCAGAAAAGTTCTAGGATTTGGAGTGAAGGACTACACAGAGAAGGTAACTCTGAGAGAAAGAAGGAGACAAAGTGAACACTGGTGGAGAAGAGTACTGTTCATGACTCCAGGTCCCTTGGAGTGTCTTTGCAAGTGAGGGGGCATCTGAGTTTATTTGGCTCAGGAGTGTATGTCCCACTTCTAGGATTAGTGAGGGAAAGGGCTGCTGAAGGAGTTGGGGGAAAGCACCGTAAGCTTTCTAGGGGTAAATTTATAGGAACCAAGAAGCATCAGCTTTATTCTGCAAGGAGTAAAGTGGAGCCAGCGAGAGGCCAAGGAAGCACCACAAGGTGAGCAGATTTTGAGCAGAGGCCCCTCTGGGGGCTGCTTCCTGGTGGCTGTGGTTCCATTTATAGCCACCTTTCTCTTGTCTCTCCATCATTCAAGGGGAGGGGGCTCTCAGAAATTGACTTCTGCTCCTGGAAGAACTGCTGACAGGCACTATGATGAGCTTACAGGTCCTGAGAATAAGCCTGATGATGCTGGCAGTGTGGGCATTCAGTCCTGTGGATGCTGAGCTAGACTGGACACACAAGCGGGCCTTGGCCCAGAAGGGACACCTGAACCAGGTGGTGCCAAAAGGGGATCACTGTTGGTTGGGGGCCAAGATTCGAAGACTCAGAGCTGCACCTCAGCATCACCTCTTTGGGATCTATCCCAGCAGGCCTGGGAACTACCTGAGATCCTACCCTACTGAGGAGCAGGGACCCCACCGTGCAGGAGGCGGTAAGGCAAGTCCTAAGGAGAAGCCAGATATTCTCCAACACCCGATTGGAGGGACAGAAGGAGTAAGGAGTCAAGTTGAACAGTCAGCTGCCCGATGGGTACAGGATGGTCTCCTTGGGCAGGCAGAACTGCTGGGTGATGATGACACTTATTTTGACTATCAAGGACCCAGGGAGTCTGTAGATGAGTCTGGAATGCAGAAAAGGGCAGGCACTGTCGCTACCACTACCACCATCCTCACACGCCCAAAGGAGCCTAATCCAGAGACCCACAGGAAGGGTCACGCTAAGAGGGAGGAGAGTAGGCTAGTAGTGAAGAGGGAGGCAGAGGGCGTGAGGGGAGACCCTGACCTCTCTTCTCAGTTTCCCCGCCCTTGGCCTACGCATTCCCTTATGCATGGGGCCAGGAAGAGTGCACTGGAGGACAGCATCCAGAATAGCGGAGGTGACCCTTCCTGGGAAGGAGTGATCTCTCCTCCTCAGTGGGGATTGCCTGTCGTCTACTTCTCGGGGAGGCAGGAGCGGCTGCTTCTACGTCCAGAAGTGCTGGCTGAGATTCCCCGGGAGGCATTCACGGTGGAAGCCTGGGTTAAACCGGAAGGGGGACAGAACAACCCAGCCATCATTGCAGGTAATAACCCATTTGTGGGCTTTCTGTGGTCTTCAGGGTATGGTTGGCTCCATTTTTGACTGGGCTAGGCATAGGGGGCAAGAAAGGGAAGGGGACAGAGCAGGGAGTTTAAAAAGGCTGGCTAACATGAGAGAAGGAAGGTCTTTTATTCATAAGGATTTGGGACCCCATAGACAATAATGTCTCTAGTGGTAATTCCTTTTGTCTCTCCTATTGACCTCTTCTTATAGGTTATGCTTGTACATAGAAGATCTTAAGCTCAATTCTCTGGTTCCTCCTTAAAGGAACTAGATTTTTGTTTCCTAGACAGTTAAGAATGGCTTATCTTACTCTCTTTCTCATAGTTGTGTTTGAGATACGGAGGCAACTTTGAAAATAGATGGGAGTTCAAAGACCTGGGCTGGTCATGCATGAGCTAGTTTGGGCAGAAATGGGACAAGGCTTCCAGCTACACAGCCTTTGGATTCTCACTGGCTCCCTGTGCTCCTAGCAGCCCTGAGCTTGCCTGAAAGGTTCTCCTTAGACCTGCTTCTAGTCTTGGGGGCCCTTTTACTTTCTTCCAGTAATTGTATGTCTCACATAGGAGTAGTGGAGATTATGGAAAATGTTGTTCACAGTCAAGATCCAGTGTTCTAATCTTGGCTGTCTCAGAGGGATCTACACAGGAAATCTTGTATAACACTATGGTTTTCACTTGTCTGAAAACAGTCCTCATGCTTGTTTCTCTCTACCAAGATATTAGCATTTGTAGTGGAAAGAAAAAAGAGTGGGGTCAGGAGTGGCTGCCTTTCTTGACTTCACTGGGGAGGTTGGCTTTAAGCATAGCTGGGTAATGAGGCTGACTATCACATTAGTTCATATCTCATTACCCTATTGCATTCCGTATAACTCAACCAAACATAGTAGAACCATTTGAATCAAGTTCATGAGAATCACCACCAACATCCTTTGACTCGGGTCCATTTCATGGGGAAACTGAGACAATAATAAGCATGCCAATGACAGGCTAAGACTAGAACTACAGAGTCTGAGATTGCTTGCTAACTCCCCAAATTAAAAAGTTCAGGTTGCTGGATGCCTATAAATTAATTTTAGGCCAACGGGAAAGAAATCTGGATGGAGAGAGACTCTCTCAATGGGTTTTGCTGGAACATCCCTTCTGGACACCCTGTCTCCCCCTCGTTGGCTGTGATCTTTCCTTTGGAAGCTGGGATTCCCAGACACTGAGCACTCTAGAGTCTTGTGGTTTTGCTTTATTTTATTTTTGGTGGAAGAGGGGGTGAGGGAAGGGGAGAGGGAAGGGGCTGGGCTGTAAGATAGGCGGAGGACTGAGAAAGAGTGGAAGGAAATCCTTATTCCGGAGCCAAATGGATGAAATAATGAGATGATTATCTGATCAGAGTTGGCAGCTTCTCAGTTTTTCCCAGATGACATCTTCTTGCTGCCTAATCGCACTTCCTAGTACCCATCTGCCAGGGAAACTGTGTGCTTTCCGTCTAGACCGAGCCCCACAACTCTGCTTACCCCTCCTCCTGCAGTAGCAACATGGGGACCTAGAATCAGCTCCCTGGCTGAACAGAATTAGTGAGGGGGTCAACAGGCATATGCTTGGAAGGCCTCAAGGGTCTATTACTTTGAGTTATTAAAGGCCAATGCTTGAGAAGCAAGTGTCAGAACAGTGAACACACCTGCCCTCTGCCTGGTCCCTTCAATAGCTCATGCTCTGCACAGAGAGAAGCGGCTCTGTGATCTGATTGTAGTTAAGCACTCTCACCTCATGCCCCTGTCCATCACCCAACTCATCTTGTCACAGTACACACACTTAGACCCTTCTCTCAGGTGCCCATCTGAGCTCTCTTGACCCTAAGCATGTAAAATTGGGCAGGAAATAATTTGTCTTTTTCCTTAGATCATCTAATTGTGTTTTAGGTGAAAGTTTACACAGCAAATTCATTTCCCACTCAACAAGTTATATGCGGACGTCTATAACACTATTTTATCTTTCCTCAAGTGTCAGTAATCTCCCCATTTCTGCTCTACTTTCCCTTCATTTCCCTTCTTGCCTTTTCATCTTTGCTTTTGGGAAAGTTTTGACCTTTTGATGTCCTATTATTAATTGTCCGAAGGAGCACTTTTCTCATGGGTCTTAATTATCTTATAGGTCAATTTATTGTCTGACTGAAAGGCTCCTGGTTAAAGGAATGTGCTGGGAGAATAATCTTGGGGGTCCTTCCAGTCTCTCAGCCCAGGAAGTCTAGTCTTTTTTCTACAAACTTGTGTCTTGTTCTACATTGCCTGATCATACAGATTAGACTGGCAGCCAGGTCTCACTGGCACTTCTGGTCCCAGGGTTGAGGAGGCTGTGAATCCTGTGGGCCCGTCATTCTCTGCATGTAAAACTTCTTCGATGGCCTTCACTTTCCTTTGCTTCAGGTGGGAAGAGACCCAAAGTCATATCTCAAATAACTGCAAATTTTTAAGGTCATAGATGCTATTCACCTAACTAGGAGATAGAGCACTGTCTTTATGAGCTACGCTATGCCACATTGACCTACATGTCCCCTGTGACATTGGACTTTAGCCTTAAAGTCCAGTAACTCAGTTTGAACATGTCTAAGAAGTTGCCATAACTGTGCCCCTTTGTGTTCTATCATACTTATGAACACATACACATCACATGTGAGTATACACACACATGCCCACAGTTCTACCTGCATGCCCATAGTTTTATATTCATATATGCCTGGGCAGGAAATCTGATGCACCAGTTGAGCTTCTGTCTTCTTTTTCAACCCAGAGTGTCCCCTGCAGTATCCTGGTGTTTCCATTCTGGGAAGGGTGACAGAGGCAGAGCAGGGAAGGGAATACCAAGGGCTGCCTGTGTACTGTCCTCGACCTGTGTGCATCACAAATATTCTTTAGATGAAAGGTCTAAGGAGGGAACTCTGGTGGCCTAGTGGTAAGGTGCTGTGCTGCCAACACAACAAGGCATGTGGTTTGAATCTGCCGGATGCTCGGGGGGAGAAAGGAGAGCAATCTCCTCCCATTCGATCAGCTGCCTTTGAAAACCCACCGGAGGGTCAGGTATAGGTCAGCTCTGACCTGATGGTCCACAACACCAACAAAGATCTAAGGGATATGAAATTTGAGAACAAGACCTTCATTCTTCAGGATTCTGGTATCCAGGCTCCTGAGGTCAAAGATATTCTTGTTTAAGTAAATGCTTAGTTACTTATGTGGACCAACCCCAGGGCTAAAAACAGTTAGTTGAAGTTCTTCAGAAGTAAAAGTCTGACTGGCACTGATTTACTCACTTGTATCAACAGAGCACCCAGTCTTTCTTTACTGACCCACTCATTGGTTCTTTAGTTGGCCTGTTCCTGCTTTGGCAGAATGACTATAATAGAACCATTTCACCTGGACTGAAACACAGCTTAATTGTTCTAGATCTGTTTCTCTGCTACAGATAATCCAAAGTGTGAAAAACTTGGCTTCCACGTTCTTTTCCAATACTTCTCAAATCTCACCTTCAACCCTCTTAACATATACTCAATTTTTATCATACCCGAGGGTTGTTTGGTTGTTGTTATCACCCCCCCCCCCCCGCATCACGATAGTCAAGCAATTCAATTACACCAGCCCTTATAGCAGAACCTCCCATGAGACATAGCGCCATAGGGAATATTTCCCACACTGAGCACTAGGTGGCAGTGTTGCCTCATGCACAGAAAAGAGACTCATTTTTGCAGCCACGTAGTGCAGTTGGGAATGTGTCTGGTATTGGAAGGCTGTCGCCTGCCTTGGCCTCTTGGCTATATTTAATCATCTTGTAGTGTTTTGTTGGTAGACATCCCTTAAGGTGAGCGTCATACAAGCCTTTTGGCCCATGTGAAGATTAAAGTAACATTTTGGGGACAGTAACAATTAATAAAGAAAATATCATCAACCAGACTTAACAACTTCCCCCACCACAGATATCCTCATTCTTCCTCCACAGGAAGTTCTAGAACCCAGAATCCTTTCATTTAGGTGCAAGGACAACGTAGACCTCAAAGACTTCAGGTGCTGAAACTCTAAGAAAAAATGGTGGTACCTGGCCCTTTTCAAGTTAGATCCTCTGAAATTGTTTATCGCAACAGGCCACTGAGGACTGAAAACAATCATATTCTGGATTCTCTGTAAATGTGGCTAGGCCCAGGTAATTTAAGTGTATGTGGACCCTTAGGAGTAGCCCGAGGTCAGGAAACAATTTGGATGGCCATTGAGAACGAGTAGTGAACATCACTCAAGTTCTGTACCATCCTGCTATGAAATCTTCCAGCTCTAGTGCCCAAGCCTTAAACCATCCTGCTCTTTTCCTTGACTTCTCAACTTCCTTTCCTTTTTCCTTCAACCTCAACATACACACAAGAGAAAATTTTAATAGGTTCCTCCTCACCCATAATTGATTTCAAATGTTCCCTGAAGCTGCCCAGCTGAGTTACCACCTGCAGCTCCAAGTTGCAGAAGACTGAGTCACTAAGTCCATGGCAGAATTAGAGCCTGACCCAGGTTTCTTCATTTAACAAATATTTATTGAAAGCCTTGCCATGCAAAGCACGGGAAAGGCACTCTGGGGAATATAAAGACGTCTAAGAAACTCTCCCTGATTTGAACAGGAGTTTTCCACCTCTGAGGATCTCAGTTTTAGAGCTTATCACAAGGTTGCAGAAGGAAGAGCACAAGCCTGGAAGTCAGACAAGCCTGCTGGGAAATCAGATTCCATCTTTGAATGGTTGTTCGTGCTGTGATCTTTGACAACTCAGAGAACTTTTCTGAGGCTTAGTTTGCTCACATTGAAAAACAAAACTACGCCTTGTAGAGTTATTATGATATTAAAATCAGTCTTACATGTTAAATAACACAGCACAGACTTGATCCATGGTAAGAATTAACAGGGAGAGATAGCCATTACTCAGAGGAATGCATTAACCTGCTCATCCTTGGTTTTAGTCCACTAA